AGCACATTCTGAAAGTGTGGGGAAGCTCCCCCTACCTTGAAATTCTAACTTAAGAGGACATTAGAGGCCACTGAAGGACTAACAATTAAAAAAACAAAGGTGAGCAAAAACAAACAACTCAGGTTTCAAAGCCTAAAAACAAAGATAATAGGTAAGAGCCCAAACTTGTGGAGGCTGTTTGCTTATTGTCAGAACAAATACTTGGGAGTGTGTGAGAGTTAAGTACTGGGAAAATATGTGGGCAGGAGCACAATAGGTGATTAATTTTCTTCCTTTCTATATTTCTATTTCTATTCTATGATGACTATTTTTCTACTTTATACTATGTAAAAAAAAAAAAAGCTCAAAAATTTACTGTTGTTTCTCTAACTCGACATCACTGCCTGTGACAGCTGTGTGTGTCAGGCCTGTTCTCTGGTGGTCCCACAAAAGACACTCTGACGCCTGGGCAAGCTTAACAGACTTCAGGGTGAGCTAAGCAGCAAAGTTTTACTTCAAAACAAAATTATTTTATTACAAAAGTTTATTTTTCCATCATTTTGTACATTTTATTTTTCCATCCCGATTGTAATGCCCGCGGGTTTCCCATCACCAAATCACCCGTGTGCCATCACCATAATCCCGTGCATTTCTCTCCCCCCCCATTTCAAAACAAAATTATTTTAAATGTAAATTCTATTTCTGTTGAGCAGTGGGGACTAGTTACCCCCTAATATCTATCTCTACTTGGACTATATGTCAAGAAAGTACAGATTAGATGACATAACTAAACTACTACCTGATGATAGCTGATGTTGATTGGAAATGTTCCATTCACTGAAATGTATTTTCCATAGGAAATGATATAATCATTGAGTCAAAATTATTTCAGGAATTGGTAAAAGTTACAATAATAAAAGCTAGGATAGTGTTTTTATAAAGAAGCCATTTATAGGCTCATAAATTTGTTGCAAAAGGATGAGTTGCTTTAATTGTGTTGAAACTTAAAAGAAGTGAAGGCATTATGTAAAGTTTTAAGGGGATGAGATACCTGAAAAGAAAGGTCCTCGGTACTGTGGCAAACAACTGCATCAGTCATATGTGAATTCTAAGAAAACTGTTAACAGAATAGAATAATGTTTTACTTCCTAAACCTGAGGGAGAGTTACATCTAAAACAACATACAGTCCAGTTTAGACACATCACACCCAAGCTGCTAAATACCAAAAACTGGGAAAAATATGAAAACATTCAGCAAAGATAATATGTTACATGCAAAGTAGTAATAATTAGACACAACTGACTTCTCATCATCACTTACAGTGGGTGAAAGACCATGGACAAGGTCTTAAAAGTAATTAAAAAAAAATCCACTCAGAATTTCATATCTAGCAAAAGTGTCATTCAAGAATGAAATAAACATTTTTATTTGTAAAGGCGTATCATGAAAATACAGGAAAACTAAAAGATACTGCCAGAAGAACCACTGCATTATAGAAAGAAATTTTCCATGTGAAAGAGAAATAATTCCAGAGGGAAACTTGGATCTGCAGGAGAAGTAAAGTACATCCGAAATGGTAAATAACTGGGCAAATAGAAAAGATCCTTTTTCTTCGAATACATTGAATTGTAGGGTTCATTTCTTGTAGAAATGAAGAAGAAAAATTAGCTACATACAAAATTTTGCATATTTTTTTCATCTCAGTTGTAATCCCTATAGACTTTCCACCACTACTTCACTCATGCGCCATCACCATAGTCCATGTGTTCTTCCCATCCCCCTTTTTGATCTTGCTCCCCTCTCCCACCCTGTAGATTGTCTCTGGTTTATAGTTAGTTGATGTCCTTTTTTACTTGATTACAATTATATATATAATTTCCCCCCAATCCCTTATACTACTGCTATAAGTGAAACCATTCAGTAATTTTTTTCTTTCTGCCTTATTTCACTAAACATGACACCTTCCAGCTCCATCCATTTTGCTGAAAATGACACGAGTTTATCTTTTTTGGTTGCTGAATAATATTCCATTCCATATACCACATCTTCTTGATCCAGTCATCTATTTTTGGGCATTTGGGTTGATTCCATATCTTTCCTAATGTAAATAGGGCAGCAATAAACATAGTAGTGCATGTGTCCTTTTTGAATTCTTGTTTTTATGTCCTTTGGGTAGATACTTAGGATCAGATGGAGGCTCCATTTTTAGTAGTTTGAGAAACCTCCACACAGCTTTCATAATGGTTGCACCAGTTTACATTCCTACCAGCAGTGTAAAAGATTTCCTTTTTCTCCACACCCTCACCAGCATTTATTGTGCTTGTTTTTTTAAGATGTGCCATTCTCACGAGTGTGAGGTGTTATCTCATTGTGGTTTTGATTTGCATCTCCCTTATTACATGTGATACTGAACATTTTTTCATATGCCTGTTGGCCATCTGCATTTCCTCTTTGAAGGAGTGTCTTTGTCGCTCTTCTACCTCATGCCATACACAAAAACCAACTCAAAATAGATTAAAGAACCAGACATAAGACCTGAAACCAATAAATATATAGAAGATGATGTTGGTGAAACACTACATGATATACACCCCAGTAACATCTTTAAAGATACATCACCCAAAGCAAGGATAGTGAAAGAAAAGATAAACAGCTGGGACTACAACACTACATAAAATAAACAGACATCCCACTGACTGGGAGAAAATTTTCCCAAAAAATATGAAAAATTAAGGACTGATTGCCAAGATATGCAAAGAGCTGTCAAAAGTCAACAAATATAAAGTGAACAACCTCATCAAAAAATAAGAAACACTTTTAACAATAATATATGGAAAAATAAATGGAAGAAAAAAATACAATATGTGCAAAGAAGGTAAAAGAAGGGCTGCTTGGCTCCATGCACACTAAAAAAAATAGACTTGGAACAGAGATTTTTAATGGAGATAAAGGGAATTTTGCAATGATCAACTCATCAGGAAACCAAACCAATTATTAAAGCATATGTGCTTAATATTACAGTGTCAAAATATGTCCCACAAAGTTGACTGAATTAAAAACAAAAGATAATTCCATTGACATAGCTGAGATTTTAATATCTCTGCCTCAGTAATTGACTGAACAGCCTCTTTCCCACTAGCAAAGTCTCTTGCCATGGCCCAAATATGGGACTTAATCATTGGGGAGGATCTTCACTAAATGAACAGCTACAGGAGGCATGTCATTGTAATTCCACTGATGACACAAAAATAATAAAGTTTTTAACATGAGTGTTTCTGAAAGAATTCCTATTACTATTTCTCAACATGTTCTACATTACTTTGCTTATAATTTCTCCAGCATTCCTAGGCTTGCCCTGTACAGATTCCCTTCCTTTCCATTTTCCATCACTTCGAGAGCCATTTATTTTTTTTTATTTTATTTTTTTTTAAAGATTTATTTATTTGTGCATACAGAACTGGGGTACAGGCCAGAGGCTCAGGAGCGGTGAGAGGCTTCACCAGAGACAGAGTGGGGAACAGAACAGGCAGATCAACGAAGTACACTGCTGAGGGGAGCAGCGGGCGGGTCAGGAGAGGTCTGCCACGCCATGTGGTCTCCTCCGGGGCAGGCGGGAATCGAACTCATGTGGAAGCGGCTTTAGATTCTCAGTGCTGTGCTTTAACCCGCTGCGCCACCAGGGAGGGCCAAGAGAGCCATTTATTTTTAATTGTGATGTTTTGTTCCACATAGCTTCTTCATAGCAGCCATGTGATATATCTTAAAAGTAATATTGTCCAGTGAATGCCTTGTTTATTTTGTTGTTATACTTCTAATGGACCACAATAAATGGTATAAATCCGCCAATTCACTTTCATATGTTTTCATTTTTCTTCAAAAGACAAAGAATAAGACAGAACAAATTTTTGACAGATGAAATTGATAATAAGTTTAGACCATAAGCCTGGTCTTTGAAAATGAGGCATCAGAGAATTTTTCATTCTACTCCTCAACAACCCTTCCCACTTCTGCTAATAGGCTTCATCTCTGGCTCTCTTTTATTAAGAAAAGATGAAAGCACAGATTTAATCCAAACTGCTTCTCACAAGACAGCTTCTCCTCCTGGGAAGTGTGATACAGAATTGGATACCAGGCGCTCCATCCTGCTCCAGCCTGCTGTTTTCTCATTGTGCGCTCTGGCTACACCAATGAAGCCCTTTCAGCTTCTCACCTCATCTCTCACAGAGGGCCAGTGAGAAGCCTCCCACTTCCCAGGGCTGCCACAGCACCTTCCGTGAAAGCACTTTGTAGTACTATGTGGCCTGCTACAAATATTAGCTCTCATCATTAGCCTCTATTTAATTGCCAAAGGTGAAAGCTCAGGAATCAGTCTGTTAATTCTTTCAGCCTCTTCTGCTGAACCCCACCTTTTCATTCCCAGTGTCTTTACTTACACAATTAGCTTATGGCTCAAGGTGTTTGTGAAAAAGAATAAAAAGACATCTATTTCCTATAACAATGTAACTCACCCTTTGAGTGTAAGTTTTAATTCCCTAAAGCACACTTGACCTCAGAAAGTGATGTTTCTCTGATTCTTACTAGATTTTTACTCTTGGACCTATGATGGCCGGCATGTGTGCCTTCCACTAAGCACCCCGAAGTGGCACTCAGCCTTGGGATTCTAACCCCTTCTTTTCCCTGGGAGAGAAAGAGAAAGTACTTGCTCAACTTAGCTTTGTCTCCTGTCTTCCACCACAAGAAGTAAATTCATTCTTCTATCCTCACCAATACTCAAATACACTTCATAATCTATAAAGCTGTGCCTGATATGTAAACCATGATTCAGGAAATGAGAAGGAAGATATCACAAATGGCCTGTGTTGATAAAACAATTGTTGTGAAGACTATTCAAGTATTGGATGTGATAGAAACAAACAGACAAACAAGCATGGCCAAACATTTCCCACAAACCTTGCCTTTGTAGAAGTTTACTAAGACTGCATCCAGTATATCAGGCCAGAGTGTGTTTCCCCAATAATACCTGAATCATCATTAGTCCAGAAGGCTCTTGGATCAGGCTTGGTCAAGATGTTGGCATGATTACATGGCTCTTTCACCTTGAAAACATAAGGAGAAAAGAAGTGATGTAAAAAAAGTTTTCACTGTTTCAGCGGGTTCAGGCCTGTATCTCTAAAGTCAAAATCCCAAGGCTAACACTAAAACATAGGGTGCATTTGAGTCCTATTTGGGGTAACCAGCCAGGTTTATCCAGGCCTGCAGGTTTTGTCACACACTCTTGGACCCTTGGAAGCACTTTGGTCCTGGGCAAAAGGGAAGGTTTGTGTCTAGGCCTGTTACACTTCCAGCAACAGGACTCAGGCCTGGACAAGCATGTGGGGGCTGGTGTTCTTCTGTCCACTAGCAATGTTCCTTTTTTCATTTAAACTTTATACTATTGAGACATGTAACATTTAAACATTCTCTTGACCGAGGAAATATTAATCTCAGTGTTCATGTATATTTCTAGTATGATAATTTGATCACTGTGAAGTGTCAAGTGTTTATGGATAAATTTATTCCATTGTAGTGATAGAAAAAGTACTTAAGAATGTCACTAAGGCCCTCCCTGGTGGTGCAGCAGGTTAAAGCACAGCACTGAGAAGCTAAAGCCACTTCCGCATGAGTTAGATCCCCGCCTGCCCCGGAGGTGATCCACATGGCGTGGCAGATCTCTCCTGACCTGCTCCCCTCAGCAGTGTACTTCATCTGCCTGTTCTGCTCCCCGCTCTGTGTGTGGTGAATCCTCTCACCATCCCTGCACCTCTGGCCTGTACCCAGTTCTGTATCCATAAATAAATAAATCTTTAACAACAACAAAAAAAGAATGTCACTAAGTATAGTTTCAACTACATTGATTTTTCCTTTCCATAGCAAGACTACTGATGAAGGAAGCAGTCCATCAATTTTACAAACTGATATAAGCAATCTTCCTCTTGCCATGAAGGAATGTTTAAGAAGGTAAAAAAGCAAAACCTTGAAGAGTTAGTTATTTGTACCTAAGTTCATTGCAGCATTGTTTATAATAGCCAAGATGTGGAAATAACCTAAATGTCTACCTATGGACAAGTGAATGGTTAAGTAAAATGTGGCATATAAATACATTGTGACTTAAAAAAAAGGAAACCTTAGGTCTCCCTGGTGGTGCAAGGGGTTAAAAGGCAGCATTCTGAGGCTGTCCACAGCCACTGCAACATGAATTCGACATGAATCCCTGGCCAGGTTGCTGATCCACATGGTGCAGCAGACCACTCCTGACTCACCTGCTGCTCCCATCATCAGTATTTCAGTCAATCCACCTGTTCTGCTCCCCACTCTGTCTCTGGTGAATCCTTTCATCCCTCGCAACTCTGGCCTGTACCCTAGTTGTTGAATGCATAAATAAATAAATCTTTTTTTTTTAAAAAGGAAAAAAAAGAAAACTTGTCATATGTTACAAGGAAATTATGCTAAGTGAACTTAGTTGGATATAAAAGGTCAAATACCACTTGTAAAAGGTAGCTAACACAGACAAAAGCTAGAAGATGCAAACAAGAACAGAAGAGTGATTGCTAGGGCCAAGGGAAAGAGGAAATAAGGAGTTGTTTATTCAGTGAGTATAAAGTTTCAGTCAAGCAAGTTCCAGAGATTTGCTGCAGAACATTGTGCGTATAGTTGACATTACATCACACTTAAAAATTTCATTTTAAAGTGCTTTTACTGCACTGAAAAAAATCCACTGTCCTATGCTATGTCTTTTTGTCTATCAGATAGAATGTTTGATTCATAGATAAGTGCTCTGTATTTTATGAATGGAATTTTCTGGTAAGCTAATTTTTTAATTTATAAGAAGCATGTTTAAAAACTGCAGTTTAAAGAAATCATTAAAATGAAACTCCCAAGAAAAAAAGAACATAAAGATGTCATCATCCCATGGACAACAGCTGGTACTTCACTGAGAAACATCCTCAAACACCACCATGAATTTTATCAGAGAAATTACTTATTCACTACAAAAATCCCTCCACTTGTTGGAAAGTTTTTTTTCTAATTTAAATGAAATCTGGATCTATGAGACTTTCCTCACTGGTTCTAGCTTACTCTCAATTGACATAGGTCTACTCACTTTCATAAAATAATACCATGGAAATTGGAAACTAGCTAGTATGTCTCTCCTTAGTTTCCAATCCCACTTCATTGATCCTCTTGCCTCCCACTATTCTTCATGAAATGGTTTTAATTCTCTTTTCCAAGTTCACTTTGCCTCAAAAAGCCATAATCTCTGGCAAAGGAACTAATCCTTTAGGACTAGATAATCCCCATGGAATAAAGAATAGATTTTGAGGCATAATTCTTGAGAAGGACAAATACTACTTCCAGATGTGAATGATTAAAAATTCACCAAGAATCCATACATTTATCATACTATGAAAGTAAAAAGTCTCCACAAGACCTCTGTGGATTGGAAGGAAGTCCAAAGCTGAGTAAGTGATCAGCACCTTGGGTTTGACTCCTGGCTAAGTCTGTAATAGGCTCTTTGATTCTTGCCTTCTTTTCCTTAAACACACTGCTGATAGGTCCTAGATTATGGAGCTGAGATGTGTGAGGTGAGAAGGGTTAAAGGATGATGATATAACAAGAACAGCAGGACAGCATTGTGGAGACTTAAAACATTTTATTAAGGAACATTTCAAGCATACCCAAAAGTTATCAGTATAAAATCTCTCAGTACCTATCATACAACTTGAACAATTATTGACATTTTGCCAACCTTATTTCATCTACCCCTTTCCTTTTGCAGGTAGCAATATTTTAAAGTAAATCTCAGATATCATGATATTTCTCTATAATTTGTTTAGGAAGTGTTTATAATTGATGCTTTTCTTCTTGTAAAAACATCATCATCACAACTAACAAATTCAACAATAATTAGATTTATTAAAATCAAATAAAGGACATGAAAATAGATGTTGATAACCTCTAAAATTTACTTAACAGCCTCAACTAATAAATAACATAATGGACATTCTAGGGGGAAAAAAGAATATGTACTTGTACTACTTTGTATATAGAGCAATTTGGGATTGATAATTAAAAAAGAAATCCTTTAAAGTGAGCTATACAAAGTCAATGGAATTTATCTCCATTCATTTAAATCCTTTTAATGTTTTTTTGTTTTTTAAATTTGGGTGGTTGCATCTTGAAAAAAAGTTTTTTCTAGTAGAAGTGGTATTATTTTTCAGATGAGTTCCAATATACTCTTTAAGGGGAAAGGGGGCAGTTCTTGTTTGATATCGTTTAAACTGTTGGAGAGATCATCTCTGGAAGGTTATTGCTGAGTGTTTAGTCACTATAGTTTTTAAATTTAGAAGTATTTTTCATAAATTGCTATAGCATTAGAAGATTAAGAGAATAGCGGTGCTTGAATAAGGAAAGATCTGGATATTAGAAAATAGGGCATATCACTATACATTTGAGAAGATGTCAGTTGTTTTAAAACTTTTGGACATGCTCTAGAGAATGAACCTGGAAATACATTATTAAAAATTCTACTAACATGACAAATGAACCAAGATCTTAATTCTGCAAAATTACTCCAATTAATAGCAAGATTGGGGCCTCCCTGGTGGCACAGGGTTTAAAGTCAGCGCTATCAAGCTACTAGCAGCCACTACAGCACGAGTTCAATCCCCGGCCAGGGAAGTGACCAACATGGCACAGCAGACCTCTTCTGTCTTTCCTACTGCTCCCCTCAGCAGTGTATTTCAGTAGATCTTCCTGTTCTGTTCCTTACTCTGTCCCGGTGAATCTTCTCACTCCCCACACCTATGGCCTACACCTCAGTTCTTGTATGCATAAATGATTAAATCTTAAAAAAAAAGAATATGCATAAGATCAGTGGAGATCACAGTTAAGGTCTTTTCCCTCCATTCTATCTCTTCCCAAAATAAATTAATAAATTTATAAATAACTTAGAAATTGTTTTCAAATCATGTGATTACATTAAAAAAAAATAAACCAAACTGTATAGATTTCTCTTTAATTTACTTTAGGTTTATTTATAAAAATTTATATGACTTTCCATAGATCACTTTAGCAGTCTATATTAAAATCATCACCTAAAATACAACAGAAAATGTCAAAATACTTATCTTGATAGCAAGGGACATTAACTCTTTCTCATCCAAGTAAGCAAGAGAACTTTATAGCTAGGAAAGTAAAATTTGCTTCTCATACTGCCTTAGTAAGCCTTTGGGAAGTGTCTTCCAGCCTATATCACAGAATGTAAAGCCATCCTATAAATACTAATTTTGAATTCAGTTCCTTTTACCCAACAGAAAGAAACATTTTCCTTGTTTTTTTTTTTTTTTTATCTTGGCTAAGTTTATTGCATCCAAAAAATGGTTGTTGAACATTTGTTTAAGACCAAGATACTACCCTTGTTGTTAGCAGGACATACAGCATACTTGTTGATTACCAGAATTTCATATTATGATTCGAGAACAGGACATCCACAGAGAAATATGGAATCTGACATCAAGTACCTCTACACCCAGTATGAACACTGTAGTAGGGCTTTTAAATTCTGTCAGTGTTTAGAGAAGGAAACAAAGTGTGGGCAAAGCTGTTGAGCAAGCCTTTCAAGAGGAGGTAGGACCTGAGCAGGTTTTAAAATACTGGCAGCATTGGCACTGGCAGGCGGGCAACAGAGGACATACATGGGGCAGGATGATGCAGCCAGCGGCATGGGAGCAAAACTTTCCAAGGTGTGTTAGGCAACTGTTGGTTGAACAATTTCATGGGAATGGAAAGCTCATGGGAAAAGTGATTAGAAACTAGGAGAAGTCAATGGTGTAAGGCTTTGAATGTCAATGCATCCTTTATTCAGGTAACTAGGAGACTTGGCAGTTTGTATGGAAGGACAGAATTAGTAAAGACCACAAAGCTGAGGAGATTAGGAGACAGCTGTACCAACCATCAGAGCAAGTCAATGAGAGGGTGATGAGCATGGGACTGTGAAAATATGAAGGACAGCTGAAATGATCTGATGGATGATTGACTGGAAATGAGGGAAGATGAA